TTAAAAGGGAATTATAAAACAAATTAATTAATAATAGTAGTAGTAGTAATAAAATAATAATAATAATAATAATCTCAATGATTCTAAAATAACACTGATACCAGAGAAATAAATATTAATAATTAACAAAATTATTATATATATATATATATATAGAGAGAGAGAGAGAGAGAGAGAGAGAATAATTTTAATTAGTCATATTCGTGATTTTGATTTTATGAAAATTTCCGTTGATAGAATAGCTAGGGTATTGAGCTGCTTCAGTCCAGTAAGTGTTCATCTGGAGACAGGGCTGGACTGGGACAAAAAAATGTGATATTTCAGTTTTTCTTTTTTAATAAATCTGCAAAAATGTCAACAATTCTGTGTTTTTCTGTCAATATGGGGTGCTGTGTGTACATTAATGAGGAAAAAAAATTTACTTAAATGATTTTAGCAAATGGCTGCAATATAACAAAGAGTGAAAAATTTAAGGGGGTCTGAATCCTTTCCGTACCCACTGTATATATATACTGTCATTAAAATTTTCATTTTAAAAATACAGAAACAAAATTATTATATATATATATATATATAGAGAGAGAGAGAGAGAGAGAGAGAGAATAATTTTAATAATGTTTATAATATATTTATAATATTTATTAATATACTTATATATGATATTTATTTAAATACAAAAAAAAAATTCAAATTCGCTTTAACTTTTTTAATTTACTGAAATATAAGAAACTATATATAAATAATATAACTAAAATTAAAATAAAAAGGAAATGATACAAAAAAACTATTAATAATAATAAGAATGAAATATTAATAATAATAATAAAAATAAATTTACAAACATTATAAACACTCTGCACATGTACTTTAGTTCCCGTCGCTCCGCAACAAATCCTTTACATTTAAAGTTAGATTTAGTCTTAAGTCGCTGGGGGATATTTGTAGCAATAGCCAACAATACATTGTATGGGTCAAAATTATACATTTCTCTTTTATGCCAAAAATCATTAGGATATTAAGTAAAGATCATGTTCCATGAAGATATTTTGTAAATGTCCTACCGTAAATATATCAAAACTTAATGTTTGATTAGTAATATGCATTGCTAAGAACTTCATTTGAACAACTTTAAAGGCGATTTTCTCAATATTTAGATTTTTTTGCACCCTCAGATTCCAGATTTTCAAATAGTTGTATCTCAGCCAAATATTGTTCTATCCTAACAAACCATACATCACTGGAAAGCTTATTTATTGACCCTTATGACTGGTTTTGTGCTCCAGGGTCACAAATATAAGTATAAAACAAACATAAAGTTTAGTGGCATTCATTATTAAAATATATATATATATTTATTATACACGCCAAACTAAAATGATTTTATTTAAGGCAATACTGAAATTATCTGCATGTTGGAAATGCGTTACACAGATAAACTCGGACTCACGTACCTCTATCATGCAACACTAAATCAAATGTGTGCATGCTTGACGATAACTGCAGTCGATTTTTTTTAAATAAGTCTTTTTTAAATTCTAAAACGGATATTTGCGATGCTGGCTGGTCATTAGCGCTCATGTTGAAATAAAGGCAGACTAGCGCGCAGCCCTCATGACACGAGGCAGGCCAGCGTGAGTACAGTAATGATGCATGTGACTCCTTTACCAGTATGAGCAGAGACATCTGACCACAGCCACCGCTGAACAAGACGCCATCCTCCAGACGCACAGAAAGAACCGTTTAACGCTGCTGAGAGTCCAGCGCTCCTCTGCATATTAAACACATTATACAGCGGCGGCGGGATTGACTTCAGTATAGACTGACGTGAGCAGAGAGAAACGGCTTTTGACCTCCTCCTAAAAGTGACCCTGGAGCACAAAACCAGTCATAAGGGTCAGTTTTTCGAAACTGAGATTTATTCATCATCATCTGAAAGCAGAATAAATACGCTTTCCATTGATGTATGGTATGTTAGGAAAATCTGGAATCTGAGGGTGCAAAAAAATCTAAATATTGAGAAAATCATCTTTAAAGTTGTCCAAATGAAGTTCTTAGCAATGCATATTACTAATCAAAAATTAAGTTTTGATATATTTACGGTAGGGAATTTACAAAATATCTTCATGGAACATGATCTTTACTTAATATCCTAATGATTTTTGGCATAAAAGAGAAATGTATAATTGTGACCCATACAATGTATTGTTGGCTATTGCTACAAATATCCCCCAGCGACTCAACACTGCTTTTGTGCTGCAGGCTCACAGATGAGGAAATGCAGTGTTTGGATGTATATCTGCTGTTGCACACACGTGTGTTTGTGTGAGTATGGAGCGACAGGAGGCTGGAGTTGCTTTCCTTTTATCTCTCCTCTATCTTTCTCTCCATCTCTCAGTCTTCAGCTTCTGCTTCATGTGGCGCCGCGTCTCTGCCAAAGAGGCATTTTTATGCTGTTTTTGGATCTTGACAGCATTGCATCATCTTGTTTTCCAGTAAAAATATCTAAACAGTTTAAAATGGAGAAGCAAAAATGACACACTAAGTGTTTTTTCCCAGACAAATGTATCAAAATGAAGTGAGTTTTTTCTTAAGACAAGAGCACATTTCAGCCGGTGGGGTCAGAAAAAGAATCTCAGTTTATGAATATTTAGACATTTGTACTGGAAACCAGAAAAATTCATTTGACAAACAAAACTGAGTTTGAGGAATAAGTATAAATGTTTTATGCTCTATAGTATCTATATCTATAGTAACATTATTGTATTGGATTATTAGTATATAAAACTGTATCTTATATTAGTTTTTAATATGCATTTTAATTGTTTTCATTATATGTATATATATATATATATATATAATGAAAATAATATGTTAAATAATATAATACGAACATACAGTTTTATATATGTATATATGATGATACTATGTATCATTATTTTATTATATTATTACTATATTACTATATTATTTACTGTGCTAATAATCTGCTGTAATACAATAAATATTAATGAATATATATAAATATATACAGAGAGTTTTTCAGCTAATTACTATTATTGTATTATTACACTTAACCCTTCAGAAAACAACACTTATAATTCTCAAGTAAATGTCATTTGATTTATGAATCTTCAGATATTTATACTGGAAAATGACAAAAATACTGAAGATACTGACTTTTTTTTTTTTTTTGCAATATACAAAAAAATGTATTACACTCAATTAAAATCCTTAAATGCAAATTTGCTTACCAAGTGAATTTATCTTGTTTTAAAACTTTTAAATTATAATAAATAATTGATTTTTGCAGGAAAGATTCTTTACATTTGGTCCTTTTGTCTTTGACGAGGGTTGAGGATTTTTCAGCGCTTGTTGAACTCCTTCTCTCGTATTCCTCTCCTCTCCATCCATCTATCTCTCCCAGATTTCATATCTAATAGAGCCACATGGTTTTGTCATTAATTGCATGATTACGTAGACTGAATGGAAGTGTAAATCCTCTCATTCAGCGCATCTTCACGCCTGTCAGATTTGAAAGTCTTGTCTATTTAACCAGCGCTTGGGTTGAAGTCTGAGAGCTGTGCGACGCCAGCGACCGGCTGCCAACCGAACCACTTCTTTCTGTCTTCTCTTTTCTTCAGCCTCCTTTCTGTAGGGCTTTGGCAGCACGTACGGACAGAAACGTCAAAAGTGTATTGTTTTGCTGACAGTGACGTCGTGAGACTCCGAAACGGTTTTTCATTAGATTGCCCAACTCTTCTGCCGAGGTTGCATCATTGTAACGATGCATTGTGATTGGTTGCGTATCTAAACCAATCGGAGACCCAAGCCGTTTGTCACTTTCAATCTTGCCAAGTGGAGGCAAAGGGAAAAATAAGCCCATTGTCATTTCAATTATTGTTGGCTTGGTGAAATCGCTCGGCGCCAAAGCAGCTTATGAAGGCAGCCTTGAAAAATCTGACTTAAGACTCCTCCTATTTCAAGCGCTGTCACAGCGAGATGAGCTTAGCGCGCGCGTGTGTTTGTTCAAACTAATCGAGTGTGATTTATTCTACTGCTGTTTAAATAGATAGCTATAGGGTGAATTCAGAATAGTATACTAGCCAGGGTTTTTGAAGTAGTGTAGTATGCATTATGTATAATGTGCATAGTATGCAAGAGCACACTGTGTGGAATACTTTATCCCACAATGCAATGCACTTGACCTTCCACTTACAGTGTGACAAATGAATAGATGCGATGGCATGATTTTTTAAAAAATCTTCCCAATTTATTTGTTAGACCACTACACCTTTTTTAATACCAAAATCTGATTGGTTGGTTGATTAATTGATTGATTGATTGATTGATTGGTTGGTTGATTAGTGGATTGGTTGGTTGGTTGGTTGGTTGGTTGATTGATTGATTGATTGGTTGGTTGGTTGGTTGGTTGATTGATTGGTTGGTTGGTTGATTAGTGGATTGGTTGGTTGGTTGGTTGGTTGGTTGGTTGATTGATTGATTGGTTGGTTGGTTGGTTGGTTGATTGATTGGTTGGTTGATTGATTCGTTGATTGATTGATTGATTGATTGATTGATTGGTTGGTTGGTTGGTTGGTTGGTTGATTTGTTGCTTGGTTGGTTGGTTGGTTGATTGATTGATTGGTTGGTTGATTGATTCGTTGATTGATTGATTGGTTGATTTGTTGCTTGGTTGGTTGGTTGATTGGTTGGTTGGTTGGTTGGTTGGTTGATTGGTTGGTTGGTTGGTTGATTGATTGGTTGGTTGGTTGGTTGGTTGGTTGGTTGATTGATTGGTTGATTGATTGGTTGGTTGGTTGATTAGTTGATTGATTCATTAGTATTGTTGTAAATTTAAGCATTTTATAGTATTTTCATTTTCAAGTCTACATTTATTTTTATGTTTAATTATTTATTTATTGTTCTTTTATTATTTGTATTTATTTATATATTATTATTTATTATAAATGGATTAAAGTGGGTGTCACAATTCAGTGGATAAACGCATGAAGGAGATACAGTTTCAATGAAAACAGTTTTTAATAAATCCACACAAGAGCAAGCACGAGGCAGACAGGCAGGACTCATATGGACGTAGTAGACTGGACAATAACCTGAGAACTGAACACAACTAATAAAGAGTAGCTAATGATGCTAATTGATGACACACACCTGAACCAAAATGACACAATCAAGGGGAGACAGAAACTAGGTCAAAGAACACGAGGGAAGAAATTAAAACAAACACAAAAGTCCATAAGGTGTTACAGTGGTGGAAATGGTTTATTTAGGAGAGGCATTTTAATTATTATTATAATTTTTTTTTTTTTAAATCTACTTTTATTTAACCATTTATAATTTTTTTATTGTTATTAATTTTATTATTTATTTATTTTAAAAAATGGAATAATGCAAAAAAAAAATCTGAGATGTTAACTTGATGCACTGTGGTGAGGTCATGTGACAAAAATACTACATACTAATTTACATAACTAGTTTCAAATACTAATTTCAAATTGAGGAATGCAGTATAGCAGTACGATGGTATTCCATTTTATACAGATATTTGTACTTAAAATAAGAGAAAACTATTTGCTAGTAGAATGAGAAAAAATTTACTCATCTTAATATATTGAGCAATTTTGCTTCATGGATGTTTAGATGTTTCTACTGAAAAAATTATTCATTTATTTATTTTTGCAGGAAAGATGTAACAACATTACTGCATAGTGTTTCACATACTAATTTCTTGTAGGTTACTACCATGCAGAAAAAAGTTAGCAACAAACTATGCTAACAAACTAATATTTTTTTTACTGTACCATCATCAGTTCTCAGTTTCAGAGAGTGTTTTTTAACACAAGCTTGTGCTTTCCTCAATGCAGTGCTGGTGTTGGGCGGACCGGAGTCTTCATCACGCTAAGCATTGTGCTGGAGAGGATGCGCTACGAGGGTGTGGTGGACATCTTCCAGACAGTCAAAATGCTGAGAACGCAACGTCCAGCAATGGTGCAAACAGAGGTGAGAGTCCAGAGCTTCTGTTTTACAGCAGATTTTTTTGTTTAATTGCTGGACGTTTGGCCAATTGAAGTAATAGTGAATGCTTATGCTGACACCTTTGTGCTTCGCTTTACAGGACGAGTATCAGTTTTGCTATCAGGCATCTCTGGAGTACCTTGGAAGTTTTGATCACTATGCAACGTAAAAAGCAATTTTTGTTTTCCCCGCACCACAAACCCCCTCCCCCCAGCAGCCTCCTGAGCCATAAAAACTTGCTTGAAAACATGAAACGATGACAACTATACACAATTCATACAATTTTTTCGAATAATCGTCTTTTGGAACCAATCAAAACACCTCATGTGTAACCCCAATTGGACAAGCAACACTGGAGAAGTGCAAATGGATCCCAAACTCTTCTACATCCCAAGCTCGTGATGCAGGAACCAAACATTTTGGCTCAGGCTGTAGGGCAGGAATGACGATCTAGTTTTGGGACCACTAACCTTACCTCAAGTGTTCTGACATGGAGGACAAACATAGTTTTTTTTCAAACTAACTCTGTGAACATATTACAAAAAGACATGAGTTGACAAAAGACAAAGTTGGTGAGATACAACATGTCCACATATTAAAATATAGATGATGAGCACCTAATTGGTTGGGTAATTCGTTGGCATTTAAAATCCTTCTTTGTTTACTAAAATGGAAATGTTTTCATTGAAAGGACATCTATCAGTCTAGCAGTGGACTTCATTGATGTCTTCAATGGAGCAGTTGGTGCAACGGTACAAACAAGACTTCTTTTGCTGCTCACGTCTTGGGTCCAAGCCTCTCCTTGACATGTTGCCATTCGGACAAAATTGGGAGCCACTTAAGAAGCAATTTGAGGCAAACCGTTGATCCACTTGAGAACGTAACCCTACTCTTGAAACCACTGGAGTCGCCAAACAAGAACTCGACATCTTGAGGCACTGAGGCATTCAAGGAATTGGTTGAAACCTAATTGCGTCAGTTTCTTGAGGTGGGGACAGTTTTTTGGTGCTTTCGAGGACATGCTAGCGAACATTTCTGCCAATGTAGCTCCATCTCCACCTCTCGAGAGCCAATTGGAGCGTGAAATGTTGCATCAACTAGAAATTAGGACCAGAGGAACCACCAAAGAAAGTCTTGAGTTTCTTTGGTGCAATGTAGCTCCATTTCTATCCTTTAGATCCAATGGGGCCGTGAAATGTTGCATCAACTGGAGATTAGGACCAGAGGAACCACCAACAAGGTTTTGAGATTCTTTGGTGCAATGTAGCTCCATTTCCATCCTCAAGAGCCAATGGGAGCATGAAATGTTGCATCAACTGGAGATAAGGACCAGAGGAACCACCAACGAAGTCTTGAGTTTCTTTGGCGCAACATAGCTCCATTTCCATCCTCAAGAGCCAATGGGTGCATGAAATGTTGCATCAACTGGAGATAAGGACCAGAGGAACCACCAACGATGTCTTGAGTTTCTTTGGCGCAACGTAGCTCCATTTCCATCCTCAAGAGCCAATGAGAGCGTGACCTGTTGCATCAATTGGAGATTAGGATGAGAGGAACCACCACGAAAGTCTCGAGTTTCTTTGGCGACTACATCCGATACATTGACTGGTCTCTACGTTGACTTAAACCATGTATTTGGCGCACCGGATAGGGGTGGCTACATCTTGCTTTCGGTACTTTGACGTCCCCAGTGACCAACGTTCATTGCCATCGTTTCAAACTACTTTTTGTCTTACAATGTGTGAATCGATTAGACTACAAACAACGAAGAACCAATATACAAAAGTGAACGTATTAAAACCACGGCCAACAAAAAAAGAAGAAAAAAGCCAAACGCAAGCGTGAAAATAGTTTTTCTTTGTACGAAGGCCAAGTGCTATCGCTTTCAAACTGTTACTTCTGATGGACACAATAATTGGTTTGAAACCACTGTGTATGTAGATATGTTGACTTTGTATTAAAGAAATGTTGTCTGAAAATGATGGTGTGCCTTGTATTTGGTCTGAAAATATTCATGGACGTAGTTAATATTAAGTCTAGCATTAGATTTCCATGGGATCATTCAAATTTCATGAGCTCAGTTTGACAAGACAGATGGCGAAATGAAATTGCTTATCCGCCGCATATACGGGGAACAATCAGCTGTCATCGCACATGGCATCTCAACAGAACAATCAATTATTTCACAATCTGGCCTGATACCTGAATGGTAAACACATCCATACGCTCATAATCTAACATCTCATCTCATCCTGATGCATTTAGCCACCCGCCGCTTGCAATTTTATCATGGCGACCCGGGATGTAAATGACATGTAGATTGACTACGAATTTGTGCATAAACCACTGGAGAAAGCAGTTGTTTGGTTGTTTTTATGCCCAATTATATGCATAAATAATGGCGTTTGAGAAGTCAGTTGAGTAAGTGATCTAAAACAAGTTAGTACAATGTTCTAGGAAGCTTTATGCTAATATCACCTCACAGTCAGTGGATCTGGTGCAAATCTTCAGCAAATGCCACTGGGCTCGCATGGAGGCTTGAACTGTTCACCTGATGCTATTTACGGTCCATGACAGCTTCCCGCTGAAGACGAGAGAACGAAAGGTTGGTTTATGTTCAACATGAAATCTTGGTTAAAAGCCTCAAGAATCCTAATGTTTCTAGGCAATGCAAAAGAAAATGTGAAGGAGATCTGGGGCCAATTGCTTTTCTCCTCAGTCATCTAACTCATTAGCACTGTTCCCCGGGAGCCCATCAAAGTGCCGTTTGCATTAGAGTAGCCAAAAGCCATGGAAATTTCAAATAAATGAGAGAGAAGTAAATTGGACCGTCCACTGCCCGTGGCAGAGCTGAGCTACAAATGGCACATCAGTTGAATCAAGCCATGGAAAATAAATCCTGGAGAAAGAGCCAGACATCATCTTTGAGAGATGAACAAGATAGACGTCTTTTGCTCAGAATAATTGCTTGGAAATTGTTCAATGGACTTGTATTCAGATCTAATCAAGGCTGTTTTCTTTCAAATGCATTTGATGCAACAATGGTTTGATTTGTTTTCTTGAGTACTGATTCTTGAGCCATGCGACAGTACAGTTTTGCCTGGTGTTAGTTGTTAGTGAAAACGGCAACATTTATGCTTTAATATGAGTCAGAATGATTTGGAACGTTTCTAACACGCATTCAATTTTCCCTTTGTTTTACAGAAATGTGGACGTTCTGAAACCACCATTATTTTTATTTTAAAAATGGCTTTTCACAGCTTGTTTCAGTTATTAATGAAAACATTTCAGAAATGTGATGCTATCAAAACCAGTCTTCATCTTGAACATTTTGATAAGTGACAAACGATAAATAAGGCACACATTTTCCATCTAAATTACACAAAAAGAGGAAACCAAAGGTGCCTAGCAGTACACAATTCACATGAATTAAGTTGGCTGCTATTAGCAATTGTTTAATTTAATAATAATAATAATAATTGAATAATTGTTCATTTATGATACACCTTGTTAGTAGCTTGTACTTGAGATTGTTGATCAAGAAAAATATCTAGAAAAATTTAGTAATTTTCCAGGACATTATCCATAAACCGAAAACACAAAATACAATGCGTAATTTAAAATGTGGGTAAAAATACATGTGAATAATAATTATGGAAAATTCCTTCAGATTAATAGATTTTGCCCTATTTTTACAGACTTTTCTTAGAGTGTAGCATACGAACTACTAATACACTGCTTAAATCTATAATTGTTCAGAATGAGTAGTTTTACTAGTTTACTAGCTAATAAAAATAAACTTAAATTGTAATTGTTAAAAAATGTGAAAGTGTTAAATAATTCAATGTTGTATTCAAAATTAGTTATTTATATTTTAATATTATATTATGCATTTATATTATTTTATAAACATCTAAATTAACATATTTAAAAAAAAAAAATGTCCTGAGATTTGATGCAGTGACACAATTTTGCATCGTGATTACACAATGACGTCACCGTGCAATGACATCGCGTCATTTAGCAACTTTAAGCAACAAATCAATCTTCCTTTAGCAACTTCCCCTGAAAATTAGTTGGCAACACTGACCATGTAGGCCTACTCTCGATTCATTCACTCAACATTTGTGAGAAAATGTAGGTTGCACCCAGACACCATATGAATCAATGAGCGGCAGTTGTTCACATGATAAATTGTTCGACATATGTGCTATTTGTTTGTTTGTTTGCTTGCTTGCTTTGTTTGTTTGTATGCAGATGTTAGCAAAGAAGGGAGTTAATTATTATACGCCTGGAAGCCAAAACGAACAGATCAGTCCCAGAGTCCCATTACAGATGTTTCGCTGCGTTTCTGGAGCGCATATATCTACAAACATATGATCAAATGTTACTGAATTCAGCTTTAAGTACCTCAGTAACTGAAGTTGAGCTTTGTGCTATGCTAATCCAATACTTATGTGACCTTAAACCGAGACCTTTTTGGAGGGAAGCAAATGACTTCTTTCTGAAAATTTGCTTGAATACACTTACGGTTTATCTTGGCGAGAGGAGAGTGGCTGCTCTCCGAGTTTATTATGCAAATAAGACAATTTGACAGATTGCGCACAACCCTTCATAATCACTGTTCACGGACGGCTGGCTGCGGCACGAGCTTTTGGGCTCTTTTAACTAAATATGCTCTCAAAACACTTTGACGGCACTTACAGAGCGGTTTACATCCCAAACACGATGGGTGCTGCTGGGTCAATAGCTTTTATTGGCCCTCCCTGTTGAAAAAACCAGCATATGCTGGTTAGGTAAGTTTTGACGCTGGGATGCTGGTTTAATGACCAGCATGACCAGCATAAACCAGCAAAGGACCAGCATAAACCAGCAAAGGACCAGCATAAACCAGCAAAGGACCAGCATAAACCAGCAAAGGACCAGCATAAACCAGCAAAGGACCAGCATAAACCAGCAAAGGACCAGCTTAAACCAGCAAAGGACCAGCATAAACCAGCAAAGGACCAGCTTAAACCAGCAAAGGACCAGCATAAACCAGCAAAGGACCAGCTTAAACCAGCAAAGGACCAGCATAAACCAGCAAAGGACCAGCTTAAACCAGCAAAGGACCAGCATTCTGATTCTGATTCTGATTATGCGATGGAAATGCCTAATAAACTGGTGTGGGGTGGAAGATGACAGATTATTTAGTTTTATTCTCATTATTATAGAATCTGGTATAATACTATAAGCTGGTAATACTTTGGTACTTTGAAATATACCATAGTATTTTCAAGAATTCAGTGCTATTTTGATCTATTTTATACCATGGTATTGCCACAATATTGTTCATAATTGCTACAGTTATGTAAGCGGTAGCGAAAGGATTCTATAGAACATGCAGAGCCAGAGACATCTGACATCTGATTGGCCAACCCAGGTACCACCCCAAAATGTAATATGCTACTATCTAATTTTCTTTGTTTAATCATACTGAAAGAAGCATTTATTTTAGCCTCGAAATCAAGGACGCAACGCGTCTGGTGTGCCACTTCATCTGGTCAGGTGTACACTGTAAAAAATTACCGTGAATTTAACGGTAAAAGACTGTAAAAATGCTACAGTAAAAACATGTTAAATGATTAACGGTAAATTCCGGAAAAACTGTATTGGACATAAATTTTACGGTAGTACACCGTTTTTGGAAGTGAAAAAGACCGTATAATTTACAGTGAATAACCGTAAATTGACATTCCCAGAATTCCCTGCGTTAGATTTCAAATTTGATGTTTTTTGGTTGAAATAACTGTTTCTTCTTATTTTTTTCTTATCAGTTTTGTATATTAGGGTTGTGTGTTACACCTAATGTTGTTAAATGAATGTTTATTGCATTATTTCAGTTTCACGTGTGTTACCATGATGGTGTTTTGTGTCTGTGTGAACGACACACTGTGTGCACCTTCTATATGTGTTATTATCTAAAAGCTGCTTGTGATGGGCTTTTGTTCATCGTGTGACTTTCTCATCACCTCCTGCATTTGGGGGTTATCAGTGTATTACAAAGCTACAAAACAGAAAAAGGTTTCAGTACTTCAATAGGTTGGTATATTAACATTATATCAGTTAAAGAAATTATGGTATTTAGCTGTAAATTTAAGTTAAAACCGTAAAACCTAAAACATTGCTACCATATTTTTTACGGTAAAATTTTTTTACAGTGTAGCTTCCAGCCTCTGCATTATAGAAATGGTCTAATTTTCTAAACTTGTATACAAATCAATTGTTACTTTTAACCTTAACAATAGGGTTCTCTTTATAGTTTAGTTTAGAAAAATTTAGAAAAAATAACATGTACTTACTCTGGTAGCACACGTACATCTCAGAGACGTCTATTTGACGTCTGCATTACATCTGCAACACATATTTTTAAAGTGTTTGCTCAGCTCCAACATCCCTGACAGCACACATACATCTCGGAGACGTCTATTTGATGTCTGCATTTACATCTGCAAAACGTATTTTTTACAGTGTTTGCTCATCTGCAATACGTCTATAAGACGTTTTCTATCAGATGTCAAATAGATGTCTACTAGATGTCTTTAAGATGTTTATGATTTAGAATGTATGTAAAATTGACATCTTACAGACGTCTGTTAGATGTTTGTACACAGCAGATGCTTTCCAGATGAAGCGATCTTTAACAGACGTCTTGTAGACGTACGTGTTCTATCTGGGTAATCACAAGCTTGTTAATTAGGTTTTT